GTCAACAAATGAAATTGTCGCACTGCAGCCCAAAGAAACGAGCTCCAAAATAAAATAACACGGAAGCAAAACAAAAGTGGAAAACACCACACTAAAAAAAAGCCAGATCCGAAAATGTTGGTCCACACAATTTTCAACAGGAATACCAAGCGAGAGGAAAGCGAGAGAGAGAGAGATGCGAATATATGGACAGTGAATACGTGCTGCTGCTCTTAGGTCTCCATATTGTACATATATATATATGTATATATATATATATAAATATATAAGAAGCTGAAGCTCATCAAGCAGGTGAAACTCACCGGTCGGGTACTTATGTATTTCCATTATCTGACACACCTATTTAAACATTTAAAGCGCCGAGTGAGTGTGACCCCCATTAGGCGCCACCTAACCGAAGAGCCACTCGCCCCAAAATGTGCATAAATATTTCACTTATTTCGTTTTTACTGCGCTCCATTGTTGTTGTTGTTGTTGTTGCTGCTGCTGTTGGTTGGGTCGTCTTGAGCATGTGGACATCAATTTATTTAGTGCGAGCTCGAAAGCAACCGAAAATTTGCACATTCCGGATATAAGTGTGTGGGGCAAGGGTTTGTGGCATGCTCTGCGCCCATCGATGGTTGAAATTGTCTCGGGTGGCGTTTAAAACTGTTGCCAAAAAGGTGCTTCGGTATTTGTCGTGGCCAAAAGCCATCGTCATTAGGACTTGGACCCGTTGCTGTCGTCATTTTGGGTCTGACTATTGTCTTTGAATTGTCTCGCAGACTGAGCAACGACTCGGACTCATTTTGGCGCACTTGACTGTTTTTGGCTCTCTGCTTGGATATGCCTTAATTTATTGACCCGTCTGCGAGAAGTGTCTGTTTATTATTGCTGTCTGTGAGGGATTTGAGAGCGTACTTTTCATATTGACAAATCCGTTAATCTGCATGAATGGCATGATGCCCCAACCGAAAACGTCCTCAGCATATCCTTGACCCAGTCTTCAATGCCACTAATGTCTTTAATGCACAGCTACTCCAACTCTCTCGATCTCTCTCTCTCTCTCTCTTTCTCACTTGGCCATTATATATGGAATTATTACTCATACGCACCATATGCGGTAAATACTCTAATTGGCTTAAACAATGCATTAATTTTCTGCTCAGTTGCCAGCAAAAAACTCATAATAAACAATGCTGTATTGTTTTGTCTTGCAACGCACACATAAACAATAGTCACACACACACAGACTTTCAATTCATTATGAGGAATATATATTTTTGTACTCATTTTGGTTAAAGACGCTTAAGCACGTTATAAGTTTAACCCCACACCCCCAGCAGCTCTATTGTTGCTATTGTTGTTGTTGTTGCTGGTGTTGATATTGTTGTTATTATTGTTATTGTTTCTGTCGCTGACTCTCTGCACAGTCCAATTTGACGCTGATTTACCTAACAAGCGCAGCGCCCAGAACAAAAGACTCAACAAAGAGGCAGCGGCAAGGAATCCACTTTTTGTTTTCATTAAAAGTGATTTTAAAAATTCAAAGGGCAATTGTCTTGACACACACACACATCCAAAGAAGCTGTCCTTATGGGCTGCAAAGAAAAATGGCCCTTGGCTCGTCTTTGCCTCGCTGAGGGCTTCCATGGCTCTCAATGTTTACGTCACTTTTGCTATTATGCACACTGGTTATTGTTATTGTTACTGTTGTTGTTGCAGCAATTGTTGTTGTTGCTGTTGCTGTTGCTGTCACCGCTGTTGCATTTAAGCACATGCAACATGCAGTAATTGGACTCCGTGGCAGCAAGACACAAAATGCGCTTACCCTGGACACCAACTCCAGCAATTCCTTGCCTCTTTCACACATTCTATGTGTGTGTGTGTGTGTGTGTGTGTGTGCATTGTTGCACTCGCTCTGGCTCTTATGCTAAGCAGAACAATGATAATGTCGCATGCCAAATTGCATGCAATTATGTAATTTTCTTGTTTTTGTTGGCGCCTTTTTGCCACAACTCCATGACGACCAATGCTCTCTCTCTCTCTTTTTTTTTTAATTTTGCTACCTAATCGCTTACTGACAACAACAGCAACAGCAGCAACATGCCACAACAACAATAGTCACAACAAGTACAACAACTGACATTTTTGTCTTCGTTTTCAGTTCGCTTTTAGATATCTCGCTTGTGTTATGTTTCTCAGTAATTATTATTTCCAAATGCTGCTGATGAGCAGAGGCAGAGTGTGTGTATCGGAGAGTGTATGATTTGATGCTTGACACAGGTCAACACACACATCCATCCACACACACATTCACTTCCACTTCAATTCGATGCATTCCATTTGACTTTGTACATTTCCAGTTTGATGTATTAATTATCTAATTAGTGATTACAAATAATTTCTTTGCTTTGTTTTTGACGTATGTCATTTTTGATGTGAGCACAAAACCAATTAGTACTCTAAAAGAAATAAGAGCGAGGTTTTATTTTTAAAATCAGGCACCAATCAAATAATGCATTGCATTTCACAAAGTTGATTTGACTATTTTTATAGTAAATCTAATCGTATAAGTATTTTAAAAGTTTCGGTAAATATATAATTCAATAGTAGTTGTAAGCTACTTACTCACTTATTACGCTAAATACATTTTAAAATCAATTTCAACTCGGATTCTAAACAAATATCTTGTTAATGCATTAATAATGACTAACTGCAATGTTTAATTAAACAACGGGAATATATTTAAAAAAAAAAATTCAATAACAGTAAAAACAAAAATGCATTACATCAATAAATTTGACGTTCAAAATGCTTCAGTGCAATTTGATTGGCAGTCTGCATTAGTATAACAGTTTGCCACTTCTGGGTATAAAAATACTGGGAATTTCATATACCGGCTTGACCAAAGAACATTTTTCGAATTTGCCTCGACGGCCTGTAGAGTAAATGAAGTGAAACTATAAGTTAAGTAAGTACAAAATAAGCATTAGCTTTGTTTAATTGTTTTACATTTTAAAATGATTTAAAATTTAATTATAATTTTTATACATTTACTTTTACAGAAGGAACTAGACAATTTTCAAATATCTAAAATCGTTTGAGTAGTTTTTGCGCCCAATTCATCGGGGATTCGGCGCAGTGGCCCGAATCGATGCCAGTCAGTCGAAATTGAGTAGCGAAAAAGAACGAAGTGGAACAAGCAAACACACACACACACACACACACACACACATACACACATGCAGACAGTGATAGAAGCGGGAGCGCAGCGCCAGCCACGAAGAACGAAGAGCGAGAACGAAAACGAAAATGACAACGACAACGACGAGGACGAGGACGATAACGGTTGACGACGACGGAGAGAAGAGCAGCGCAGCTCACGGCGTCACTAGTGAGAATGAGAGCGAGCAATTCGTGAATATTTTATGAACGAGGGGCTCGCTCGCTTAGGCGACACAAATAGCGGGACTCTGGCAATTGGCAGCCTCGGCTCCAACCACGTCCTCGGCCTCGTCGTCACATATATTCGACTCGTCGTAACGCGTCGTCGGTCGGCAGAGAGAGAGAGAAAAATGTAGGGAAATATATCACGTCGTTTTCGTTTCTATCGTCGTCCACATCGGCGCCATCGTTGTGTTTACTGCCTACGCGGATCGCTCGCTGGCGGCAGCAGCAGCAGCAGCAGCGGTTTGTTCGCCTGGCATGTTCCTGGCCAGGATAGCGGCGACGCCGTCGTCGCAGCAGCAGCGCTCTTGCAATTTTTGGCCAATGCGTGTGCTGCTGGCGTTCAGTAAGAAAAGCGTCGCCCAACGGTCTAGTACGAAAGCGTACCGCACGCTTTGAGTTCTTTCTGCTCTTTGGGGTATCCAGCGACGAATAGTCGTAAAGTCGCCTAGTCGTTTAGTCGAATAGTCGTTTAGTCGTTTAGTCGTATAGTCGTTTAGTCGTTTAGTCGTATTGATATATAAATTGTGTCTGTGCGTTGCCCTTGTCTCTTGATTCGTGCGTTATTCGAAACAGATCAGAACAGCATTTGAAAGTAATGATAATTGATATTGATATTATTTATATTAATAAACAGACCGACAACAGAAACATTCTGTGAATTATTTCATTTCTGCAGGGAATTTTTTTTTTATTGAATTACGATCCGTTGTCGTTGTCTCTGCATCTACGATCCCCATGTTTGCTGTGAACTTTTTCTTCAACTCTTTGATAGTTTCATGAGAGCCCATTTGTTTTTAGATAAACACCATAGACAATTTCACGCCTCTTTCAAGCCACAAACTTTTGCGACATTCATTAAAATTGAAGTTATGTTTGTTGATGTTATTTGCTGCTGCTGCTGCTTCTGCTGCTGCTATTTTATTTTACTTCTGTTTGCAGTCAGTGACATTCACTGACTTCTAAAGTTGACTGCTTTATACTCATCACAGCCAGCACCCAGTAAAATAATTTCCCAACTATTGCTGTTGCTGCATTTGTTGTTGTTGTTTTTGTTTTTGTTTCGACAACTGGAAGAAACTTCAGCAACGACTTTGAGCCACGATTCTTGTTTGGCTGTGTGATGATTCTGTTTTTGTTTTTATCCAAATCATTGAAATTGAAGTAGTACACGACTGCTTGGCTGTCTGTCACATATATGACAGCGATATTTATAATTTCCGCTGCTACAAACTGCAGACAAAGCAACAAAAATACCAACAGCAGCAACAGCAGCAAAACGATAAGCAGCAGCAGGGAGAATAATTTGCGATTACTGCCAGGCTGGCAGGCTGGCAGCCTGGCAGCGGAATACATAAAACCATATCCCATATTCCATATCCACAGTCGAATGTAACGTAACGAAAGACAAGAAAACGACGGCAAGGACAGCGAGAAAAAAAAAAAAAAAACAAAACAAAAAAGAAAATTACAAGCCAAGTGCGCTCGTGTTCGTGAATTTCCGGTTGAACAAACACATAAGCAAAACGTAAAAGAAAAGCGAGCAAAAATTATAAAAATAATAATAAAAACAACACACACTCCAGCAACACCAGCAGCAGCAGCAGCAGCATCGAGTACATAAGCGAGGGGCCAGCCAGAGGCGAAGACGAAGCCGCAGTACGAAAAGTGAAAATATATACGGAGAAAAGTTGCACAGAGCAGCAAGCATATTTCATAAGTTCACACACACACACACACACACACACACACACAGACACACGCAACACACACATATATATATATATATAAATATATATAGAGCCATATAGCCCAGAGCCAGTTAGAACAAGTCAAAGTCATATATACATATACATATATACATATATATATATATATATATATATATGAGAAGCGGAGACGGAGACGGAGGAGACAAAGGCTAACGCACGACCTTTGGCACAGAGTTCAGCAACTGCAGCTGAGGACACGAACACGGACACAGGATACAGGACACACAGCGGCGAGGTCAACAAATCAATAGAAACAAAGCGCACACAGCGAGCAAGCAGCAATTGGCCGCAAGCATTGCCACAGCAACGGCAACTGCAACTGCAACTGCAACAGCAACACCGACAGCAGCACCAAAATTCACTCGCAAATTATGCTGGCCATGTCGACTTTAATGATGCCCGCCCCAACTATAGCCATGGGGGCCCCGCAGATCACGATGGGCCCCCACAAGCCGCCGGAAACGAAACTACTTGCCATACATCCAGCTGCTGCAGCGGCCGCTGCTGCTCAGCAACAGCAAACCGTGACAGCTGCCCATCTGCAGCACAATGGTCATCAGCAACATGTCCAGCAACAGCAGCAGCAGCAACAACAACAACAGCTGCAGCAGCAGCCAGCAGCACTGCAGCATCAGCAGCAACAGCAGCTCGTTGGCAGCAACGCCAAGCCAGGTGAGTTTTTTTGCAGTAGACGATTTTATTTTTTTTAAACTAAAATGTTTTTAATTAAAAGTAGTCTTGAATAAGCATATATCGAAAACAACGAATATTTTTGAGTATGGAATATATTGTCTAAGACAAATTGTTACTCAGTTTTTTTTTTTTTTCTTTTACCAATCAGTACAGATTGCATTTAACTGATTGTAGCTTGAATTCTGCTCTAAAAACCTACAGAAATATTTAATGCTGCCTAAGATAAAATACCCTATGCTCTTAATAGTTTCATAAATAATTTTTCTAAAAAAAACTGATAAACAAAGTGATTTATAAAAGAACTCGAATTGCTAATGAAATTTATGTATAGAATAATTACCGACAAACTAATTCTAAATTCTTTATATTTTTGAGAGCTGATCAAAAATACTTAACTCTTCTATAAGAGAAAAGTTTTTCACTTTAAAATGATGCACATTGCATGAGAAAATTATAATTCTTCCATAACAAAAAAGCCACTATAGATTTTTTGTATGCAAACAGGGTAACCATAAAGCAATGATGTGAAAGTTGAGGCAACCAGGCAACACATTCAATTACAGTTGTTGACAGGACCACAAACCACGTAGCTGAGCTGAGCAAATTCCAATAAGTCGTAATTTTAAGAAACATTTGCAGTGTGCCTATTCTGGTAGACGTTTGTGCAAATGCAAACTGAATGAGGCCGATTGCGAATATTCATATGTATGTGTATAATGTGTATGTGGCATGGAAATAACAAAAATTGCACACGCATTTCTTAAATGAATTATTGTGGACAGGCCCGGAATACAAAGTACAAAATACGGCAGAAGGCCGGGAGGATGGCTAGAAAGATAGACGGGTAGAAATGAGGACGGGCTTGAATATCAAACATTTGCATTACAAGCATAAATATCATTTACAATTTTCATATTGCAAAACCACAAATATACAATTTGATACTGTAAGCAGCCTAGAAACGAGAGCCTACAGCTTACTGCTCAAGTATTTTTTGGTGTCAAGTGCTTGGGGGGATGTGGGTCTTGGGAAAATTGCACAAAACGAGAGGATTTACAACTTAAAAACAACTTTAGCCAAAAACTTGCTAACAAAGAGCAGGGCACAGGAAGGTGGGTGGTGGAAGATGGGAGCTTGGCTTCAATTGCTTTGGCCAATTCCTATTGCTTTGCAGCGTCCTGCTCAACATCCTGACTACGGTTGCTAATGGCAAAAACTATACGAGTACACAAATAGACACAGCTCAGGCACAAAACCGGAAACAACGGCTCAGGAAGCTGCATGAAAATGAAACGTTGGCAACGCCAGTCATGGCCGGTGGTGCTGTTCGGGGCTGAGTTTTTGGGTGGTGGTGTCGTGCTGGCCGACTTAAGACTGTAATGAAAATGAAAAATGGAAAATGTATAGTTAAAATAGAGTAAGCTCTCGGCGTGTATTAGTGCGTCTGTCTGACAAACGAGTCGAGTCGAGTCGAGGCGAGGCGAAAGCAACTTGAAAATGAATTTAATTATGGTAAAAAAGTGAAAATTTCCACACTTGAGTCTGGCAAGTTTGCCATTTGCCCAGTTCAAAGTGAGACAGCAGCGAGCAACGAAGGCGTTGATGAGTCGGAGAAGTGTGAGAAAGTTGTTAGACAACACAAGGCATAAATAAGGAAAAGCAACTATAAAAGAGATCTCAGTTCTCAGCAGGAAAGTGAAGTGTCTGTCTACGTCTGCTCGGATATTATGGAAGTTGTCTCAGTTCGCAACAGCCAATGAGGCATCCAGACCACAACAAAAACTTTAGCTACTCAGTATGCCACGGGCCAATCTTAAGCAGTAATTAGCAGTGCTGGAAAAGAAAAGATGGACCATACATTGATTGCAAATTGAAAATTAAACACAATGCACACTGCCAATTCACATATTCATTGCAACAAGCCAAGGCAGAGGTTCCATTCCAAACCAAGAAGCAGCTGAGCAACTGAAACTGAAACTGTGGCCAACTGGTGCTTCACATAAACAGGCAAACAGACACATGCATTTCATTTTATACTGCATACTGCATACACACATGTGTGTGCACAGGAGTACACGGTGCATGAACTTTTGAGCATCACTTGCACAACATACACAAACGCAATCACACCTACACACACACACACACACATACACTCTGGCAGACAGCAGTTACACCTACAGCACGCAGCAAAAACAAACTGAAAGATTTGAAGTGTCGCAGCAGCTGCAGCATGGGCGGGGGCAGGGGCAGGGCAAGGAGCGGGAGCCAAGCCAACAAGTGCCAGAGTTGCTGACTAAAGGAAGAGACACTAACCGACAAAAACAACAACAATTACGACAACAACAGCAACTATAACTGACACACTACAGTAGAAGTCGTTTACAAATTACAAATATTTATGACTAGAAATCAATATTTTAGCTTAAGTGAACTTTGGCTAATTTAATCACAATTCCTTTTTACATTTTAATTATAAGTTTTATCATTTATCTAAACTTGATTCTATATAGAATTTGTGAAGAAACTTTTTACTAATTACTTAATTCTCTTAAATTGAAGCAATTAAATATTTAAGGAAAACTGTAAACTTATGAAATTACATCAATATAATATTAGATAAATATATATATAATATCCATTTAACTTTCAATATCAGATAAATAATTTTGAAATTATTCAAAATATATATTGTGGCTTAGATGTCACTTTTTTCCCCAGAGCTCCTGGCGGGCTTTCCAACGTAGAACACGTGATAATGTATATTAATTGTTATTTATTTAATTTCATTATTGTAACTCATAAAATGTCTTAACTAACAATCAAAGGGTGCTGAAACTGAACTGAAATTTATTAACACTGCCGAACGAGCTCTGTTAACGACTTCTGCTTCTTGACTCGCTCTGATTCTCGACTGACAACTTTGACTGATCTTTATTAACTCTATCAAACACACTCAATTTTAAAAACATTATTAATAACAATAATATAGTTAATAAAATATATGAACAATAATGAGCTTTTTAATATCAGTCAAATAATTTGCATATCCCGCTAATGTAATTCACAAGTTTCGATATTGTTAGTTTAGCTATCACTATTTGACTGTTTTAGGCAATTTATACTGTATTTCGCGACATCGTCGCATGTTGCTGGCTGCACTTGGTTGTGTTTCTTTGACAGCAAGCGAAACGGCGTGAAGAAATGAAGGGAAGGGAGGTGCTACACTTTCGCTTTGGCGCTGTAGACGGCGACAGCAAAACTTTTAAATTGGTTGGCAACACTTACCAAACCTACACACACACACACACACACACGCACATAAGTGGAATGTCAGTCGCTACACACACAGATGCATGTTTGTTTTGGAAATGAATTTGGAATTTTGTGCTGTGCACTGCGAGAAATTCGGGTAAGAAAGCAGTAGCACTAGCAGCGCCAGTAGCGGGAGCAAATCTGGACGGGAGACAACGAACAGCACCTAAACGTAATTTGCCAGCAAATCATTGGAAAAGCGTTGAGACCAAGCAGCAAGAGGCAAGGAAGCGAAACGGCAGCAGCCGAAAAGTATGCAATGGTAAATGTGATACAAAAACACATACATGCAGACGTGTGTGTGTGTGTGTGTGTGTGTGTGTTTGAGCGTGCTTATGTGTGGGTGTGGGAGTAGTGCGGGTGTAAAAACCACTAAAGTGAAATGCATTTATCGACCGCAAAGCGTTCGAAATGAAATCTGTTTAAGGGATTTTAATACCCTAGCGAACGTGCTGCCAGTGTGTGACTGGAGAGTTGTATGAAATGGGTGTGTGTGTGCGAGTGTGAGTGCGATGTGTATGTGTGTCGGTGTGTGTGGGGAAAGGACTGGCAGGCGAACACAAAAAGTCAATGAATTCGTTTGGCGAATTGAAAAATTAATTCAGTTGCCGTCGCTGGCGTCGATAAGTAGAAGAAAAGGAAAACTTTACACGCTGTGTCTTTATCTTTTATGTGTGTGTGATTCTGTGTGTGTGTGTGTGTGTGTGTGTGCTTTTTACTTACTAATGATTTCTCATTTCGCTTACGGTATTTCTGTGTTATTTGCGCTTTTTGTCTTACTCTGCGTTTTACAGGCAGCCAGCAAGCAACCATCCAGCTTCCTCCCACCCGCTCCGCTTTGTACTGTAAGCCATGGCACTGAGGCCAAATTACTCACTGCCGTTGTTGTGGATTTTCCTCATTTCGCTCATTTCACTCGACAACAGTAACAACAAGAACAACACAAACAGCACGACAGCCGCTACACAAGTAGCAAACGAAGAGAAGGAAATTAAGCAAAAAGCGCAAAGATTTATTTCGCTTTGATCAAAATTAAATGAATTGATTTTAATACGCCCCGTGGGCAAGATATTTTCTACGTTGGCCAAATGAAAACGCATAAAAAAGGTACTGCCGGGCATGAGCCATGGGCGTGGGTGTTGGCATGGGCGTGCCAACAACCTTGGTTCCTTGGGTTGGCTTGCTTTACATCACTATAATCGCACAGCACTGGCTTTGGCACCCTCTCTGGATTTAAAGATGCACAATAAATGCTGGTTGAGTTAAGCACTTGATGAGTGGAATACAAAATATAAAATGGAGCAAAAGTATTAAATAAGATGCTTGGAGCAGTGATGCATCTGAAAAATACAATTGCTTGTTATATTTCTTAAACAATTTATATGCAAAAGCAATTCTCAAATAAATGCATGGATTTAATGCTACTGAGTTTACAAGCAAATAATTTTTACAATTCATGGAAAAATATATGTTTTAATTTTAAATGAAGAACGAAATATGTCAAATTTGAAAAATTCAACTTGTTTATTACTTAAATATATTTTTTGTGTCGAAGACTATTCTTACAAACTTTAATTTGTATGATTTTTCAAGTACGTCAGCAAATTTATGAAAATATATATATTTTAAGCTCTGATATTCAAATATTCTTGAAAAATTGCCAA